ACGACGGATGACTTCACATTCTTTAGGTGGCCCGAACCAGCCTCGCCATAGGCGGACTACGTCCGGTGGCTCTTGCGACCGTTGATATGTCCATAACAGCCATTACTTGGAATGGCCGTGGCCTGGCGAACAGGGCTACTCTTTCTCACCTTCATTCTCTCATTCGTGACCACAGAGTCGATTTTGTTGGCTTTATTGAGCCGATGATTCGCACTCCTTCTTTTGACCACTACTCGCGTCGTCTGGGCTTCCATTCGGGCGTGGGGAATATTTCGCACAAGATCTTCTTCTTCCACTCGCGTGACTACACTTGTCGGGTCCTCCACGACACCGATCAGGTGCTTCACGTAGAGATTTCCGCTGCCCATCTCCCAGAGCCCATCTTTCACACCTTGGTTTATGCCAAGTGTACTAGGGTCGGGCGATATGATCTTTGGGACACCCTGCGTGAGATTGCCGAGAGTATGGAGGGATTGCCATGGATGGTTAGTGGCGATTTCAACATCTTTCTGCACCCCGATGAGCGCGTGGGTGGCCGCACGGACAGATCCCGAGAGATGTGGGATTTTGCGCAGACTGTGGCGGACTGCGAGTTGCTTGATGCTGGATGCGAGGGTGAGCCCTTTACGTAGGTTAGGGACGACCTCAAGGAGAGGCTCGACCGTGCTTTGATTTCTGAAGCGTGGTCGAAGGTATTTGCGGTCACGACCGTCACGCACCTCACTCGATTTGGGTCTGACCATTCACCCCTCCTCATTAGATGTCGTTTTTCGAGCACTCCTCGCCGCGCTTCCTTCAGGTTCCAAAACATGTGGGTTCGCCACCACTCCTTCCACGACACTGTCAGGGATTCCTGGCTTCAGCCGACTGGGCTCCTCGGGATGCGCAATCTCGAGGCGAAGCTCGGCAGACTGCGGCGTCGGTTGAGACAGTGGAACTGGGATGTTTTTGGAAACCTTCAACACTGCCTTACTGCAGCTCAGAGTGCGCATGCGTCGGCTGAGCGGGCCTATGACCTGGATCCCACTCCGGAGAATAGGACCGCCATGCACCGCTGCCACGCCGAGTACCAGCTCCGACTCCTTATGGAGGAGGACTTCTGGAAGCAGAAGGCGGCCGTTCGCTGGGTGGCCGAGGGCGAACGGAATACTAGGTTCTTCCAGGGCTACGTTAGGCAGAAGCGTGCTAAGTCGTACATCCATAGTATCGAGGCTGATGGGTCATCCTTGACCCAGGAGGCTCAGATTCGGGAGTCGGCTGTTGCTCACTTCCAGACCCTCTTCACCTCTGACAGAGGGTCCCTCGTGGCCCCGAACGCTTCTTTTTTCCCCACCATCCCTCCTTCGGTCGATCTCATTGGCCTCTGTGAGCTCCCGAGCAGGGAGGAGGTTAGGGATGCTGTATTCGGGATTGATCCCAACAGCGTTTCTGGCCCGGATGGTTTCTCCTCCCTCTTCTATCAGGTCTGCTGGGATATTGTCGAGACTGACGTCCAGGAGGCGATGTTGGATTTTTTCTCCGGCCACCGGATGCCGGATTCCTTCACGTCTACCTCTGTCGTCTTGATCCCCAAACGACCCAACCCGAGCTCTTGGTCCGATTACAGGCCCATCAGCCTGTGTAACGTGACCAACAAGCTCATTTCGAAGATTCTTAACGGTCGTCTTTCCCCTCTTCTCCCCTCTCTCATCTCTCCGAACCAGAGTGGATTCGTCAAGGATCGGGTCATTAGTGATAATATCCTTTTGGCCCAGGAGATGATCCACGACATCTCCCGAGCGGACTGGAAGCGGGCTCCGAATATCGCGCTGAAGCTGGACATGGCTAAGGCGTATGATAGGGTTGAGTGGCCGTTTCTTAGGGAGGCGTTGGCTAGGATGGGATTCCCTGAGCGTTGGATCAGCTTTGTGGAGGCGTGTGTGGAGCATTGCACGTTCTCGGTCCTGATCAATGGCAGCCCCACCGATTTCTTTCCCTCCTCTAGAGGCCTTAGACAGGGCGACCCCCTTTCCCCTTCCCTCTTCGTTCTTGCGGCAGACTACCTCTCTCGCTGCCTTGACGGCTTCATCCGCGACTATCCCCATATGACCTATAGCACCTGTGGCTATGGTCCTACCGTCTCTCACCTCTCCTACGCGGATGACATCATTATCTTCACCCGGGCGAATGATGATGGACTGGTCGAGCTCATGCGCCTTTTGGAGCACTATGGCTCGGTCACCGGTCAGCTGGTCAGCGTGCAGAAGAGCACCTTCATCCTGTCATCTGCCACCGTGGACAGGTGGGCTCAGCGGGTCCACGACATTACTGGCTTTGCGCGTGGCGACCTTCCCATTACCTACCTCGGGGTCCCTTTATATAAGGGCAACCTCACGAGAGCGCTCTTTGCGGGCGTCAGACAGAGGATGATCGACAGGATCTCTGGTTGGTCGCATAGATATCTTTCTTTCGGTGGTCGGCTAGCGCTGATCAAGAGCACTCTTAGCTCTCTTCCGATTCACCTGCTTATGGTCCTCGACCCCCCTAGGTCTACTCTTGACGAGCTTGACCAGATCATGGCTCGTTATTTCTGGGGTTATGAGGACGGGTCTGGGAGGGGGAGACGTACTCACTGGGTGAGTTGGGACTCTATTTGCCGGCCCCTCCCAGAGGGTGGCCTTGGCATCCGCCGCCTTAGGGACATTGTTACAGCTTTCTCATACAAGCTGTGGTGGCGCTTCAGGGATGGAAAGTCGCTTTGGGCTCAGTACCTTCGCGGCAAGTACTGCCCTAGACGTGCCAACCACCCTTGTTGGGTCACGGCTGTTGATCATGATAGCAGACAGTGGCGGCGCCTCACTAGGGTCGGGAGGCGAGCCCAGGATCACATCTTTTGGGTTTTGGGCGGGGGCGATGTCAGTGTCTGGGATGAGTGGTGGGTTGGTAATAGGCCGTTGTCTAGGGATAGGCAGGTGTCGCACTCCCCCTACCTGCTCGTGAGCGACCTCTGGATGGACGGGTCGTGGGATAGGGGGAAGCTTGATAGGGAGTTGGGGGCTGGTGCGGGTTTTAGCGAGCAGTTATTAGATCAGATCCAGCAGATCCCTATCTCGGGGGACGGTTCAGATAGCATGAGGTGGAGACTTACATCATCAGGTGTGTTTTCTACTACCTCGGCTTGGGAGCAGATAAGGCTGAGGGATCGGCCTAATCTCCTCTTCGGGGCTATCTGGAGTGACCTTTTTACGCCTACTATTTCGGTATTCCTTTGGCGCCTTCTCTTGCGCCGGATACCCGTCGATACTATGCTACACGCGAGGGGGGTCTCCTTCCCCTCTCGGTGTGTGTGTTGTTCTGAGACCGGACGCCATGAGACTGAGACCTTTACCCACCTTTTTCTAGAGAGTGAGATTGTGAGGAGAGTGTGGGAGCATTTTGCCACTTGGACTCATATATCCCTACCCACCACATACAGTTTTTTTGAGCTCCTGAGTTTTGTCTCACAGAGCACACTCCTTAGACACGTGGGCTTCCTCATTCCTTGTCTGATCCTTTGGTTCACCTGGACAGAAAGGAATAGTGCGAAGCATAGGGATATTACTTTTATGTTTTCTCACATTGTTTTGCAGGTTGAGAGACACTTTTCACTCCTCATCTCATTGGGCAGGCTCAAGGCTCGAGACTGGACAGGCTGCACGCCACCACACCGCTATATGGTGGCCCCACCACCGCCTGTTCGGACTCCTCGGGCCAGAGCTGTTGTTTGGCTTCGACCTGACTCTCCGTGGGTCAAGCTGAACACTGATGGTTCATTTGATCGCCACACTGGAGTTGCCGGAGGAGGAGGCCTGATTCGAGACCATAGCGGCGCCCTCATCACGGCTTTCCACGCTTCCATTCAGGCCTCCTCGAGCTACGACGCAGAGATTCAGGCACTACAGATTGGCCTACAGATTGCTGCCCACCTCTCTAGTCATATATGGATTGAGCTGGATGCTGCGGCTGTTGCCACCCTCCTGACTTCGGGCCATCAGGGCTCGTGGCAGATTCAGCACCCACTTATGCGCATTAGAGATATACTTCGGTCAGTCCACCACAGGATTACGCACATTTTCCGCGAGGGGAACAGACCTGCTGACTACCTTGCCAGCCTTGGTGCCACCATACCCGATATACATACGTTCCAGACCGACACTGCTCCACTCCGTCCTCGCACGCTTGTCCGGATGGATCAGCTGGGATATCCATCCTTCCGCTTTCAGTAGATTAGGTTTTCTTTGTTGTCATTTCAGTAGATTCTCTTTTTCTTTTTCGGGCACCTGTTAGCCCATAGACAGACTTTGTATTTGTTTCGCTTGTGAGACCTTGTAGACTGTTGATATTTTTGACCCCCGTTTTGGGGTCTTGATCTATGCACAGGTTGGGGATCCAGCCCAATCCCCCGCCCTCCCGGGGCGTTGTTTGTTTAAAAAAAGAAAAAAAAAACCTAGCAACAAAAGACAACTAACCTAGCAGCTACAGATAACTAACCTAGCAACAAAAGACAACTAACCTAGCAGCAAGAAAGAAATAATCTAGCAACAAAAGACAACTAACCTAACAGCATCAGACAACTAACCTAGCAGCAAGAAAGAAATAATCTAGCAACAAAAGACAACTAACCTAGCAGCAAGAAAGAAATAACCTAGCAACAAAAGACAACTAACCTAGCAGCGAAAAGAAATAACATAACCTAACAATAAAAGACAACTAACCTAGCAGCAAGAAAGAACTAACCTAGCAGCAAGAAAGAAATAATCTAGCAACAAAAGACAAAAAACCTAGCAGCAAGAAAGAAATAACCTAGCAACAAAAGACAACTAACTTAGCATCAAAAAAGAAAATAACCTAGCAACAAAAGACAACTAACCTAGCAGATCCAATTATTGAAGACATTGCTACAGTGAAATGTCCCCCTCAGCTGCTTCCGGATTTGGACCCAACCCACACTAATCACGTGGTCAAACAAATTCAAAAACGAGATGGGCCAAGTCCCTTTGGGCCCAAATTAACAAACACTGCTACCTCATCTCAAAATAATAGTCACCCAGCACAAATTAGCCCTCTTGGCGTGGCCCAAAATTCCAAACGGCCCATGCCACTACTGCCACCAATCACCGGCCAACCGGCTATCCCCCACGCTGGCGCCGTCTCCGGTGCCGCCACCGGAAGTTCCAAGATGGCCGGAAAATTGTGCGAGGGTCTCCCGGAGATAACTACGGCCGGAATTCTTGGCCCGCGACCAAAGGCCGTCTTATATGTTCGGGAAGATGGTGTGATTGCGACAAGCCCGAGCTCGACGACCGCGACACCTTTTACCGGACACTCCCCAAATGGGGCGACGCCAATGGACGCCTCCACGACCAACCCCTCTAATCCCGCCGCAACCGGACCTCGTCCGGGCTCCTCCACTGGTCCACTCTCTTTCCGAGAAGCTATTACGGGGAAGAGAGATTCGGGCCCCAAGATTACTCCGCGGCCGACACCCAAGGAGTTCCTCTTTGACGGGGACTATGACCACGCTTGCGGGACCATCATCCGCTCGGAGGGGAACAAAGTGAAGGTCCGATTCTCACAGGCCGAAGCTGACACCCTCGCAGGTAAGTTAGCGAACACACTGATATTTAAGTTTACTTATGCTATCCCACCCCCCCGAGACTTAGCTGCTGGATTAGGAAAATTGGGATTTAAGGGTAGTTTCTCATTTAAGTGGTATAACTTTAATCATCTTCTAGTCTCTTTTAATCTCCCTGAAGATTATAATGCGGTTTGGCTTAGGTCTTCTATTCTTGTATGCGGATGCCCAGCTAGGGTATTTAAATACACTTCCGGTTTCAACCCGAAGACGGAGACGCCGGTCGTCCCCGTGTGGTGCCGCCTCCCCGGCCTCCCACCACATCTGTATGACAGGGATTCCATCACCACACTAGCTAAGTGTGTTGGAAAACCGGTCCGCATTGATGCCCCGACTGCTCTCCAGTCCAGGGCTAATATGGCGCGTTTCTGTGTCGAGATTGATCTCAGAGTGGAGCCTATCCACGAGATTGAGATTGAGCAGGGTTCTGAGACCTTTGCTCAACGGGTGATCTACGAGAAGATCCCTGCTTTCTGCGGCTCAGAGTGCGCATGCGTCGGCTGAGCGGGCCTATGACCTGGATCCCACTCCGGAGAATAGGACCGCCATGCACCGCTGCCACGCCGAGTATCAGCTCCGTCTCCTTATGGAGGAGGACTTCTGGAAGCAGAAGGCGGCCGTTCGCTGGGTGGCCGAGGGCGAGCGGAACACTAGGTTCTTCCAGGGCTACGTTAGGCAGAAGCGTGCTAAGTCGTACATCCATAGCATCGAGGCGAATGGGTCATCCTTGATCCAGGAGGCTCAGATTCTGGAGTCGGCTGTTGCTCACTTCCAGACCCTCTTCACATCTGACAGAGGGTCCCCCGTGGCCCCGAACGCTTCTTTTTTCCCCACCATCCCTCCTTCGGTCGATCTCATTGGCCTCTGTGAGCTCCCGAGCAGGGAGGAGGTTAGGGATGCTGTATTCGGGATTGACCCCAACAGCTTTTCTGGACCGGATGGTTTTTCCTCCTTATTCTATCAGGTCTGCTGGGATATTGTCGAGACTGACGTCCAGGAGGCGATGTTGGATTTTTTCTCCGGCCACCGGATGCCGGATTCCTTCACGTCCACCTCTGTCGTCTTGATCCCCAAACGACCCAACCCGAGCTCTTGGTCCGATTACAGGCCCATCAGCCTGTGTAACGTGACCAACAAGCTCAT